ATATTATATAATACTTTTATATAATTTAATATAATTGCCATTGCCATTTAGATCTGACCTTTACTTAATTTCTTTTTGAGAAATTCATCGGTTGTTTGGCTAATGTGTTTTGGATCATTATTCAGCTGAAAAGTCTGCTTCTGTTTGAACATCACTTTCAGATCAATGATCTTAAATCTTAGAGCTTTCTGTATCGATCTAGAAGGTCGGTAGTTGATCTTTCGGCTCCTTCAGTCTGCATGTCAAAGTGTCTTTGGGCAAGATACTGAACCCAGAGTTGCCCCTGATGTATCCACTGGAGTGTGCCTGTGTGAATGTTACGTTAAAAACACCTGGGCATAGGAAAAAAGCACTGTCTGTCCGTGTCTCTGTTTATAGTACATTATGCCAAAAGACCTGCCTTTCAGTTGTTTGACAAATTGTTCTTTTTGGGCAGGAAACAGCTTGCTTTCTACAAAGTGAGGTTTTTTTTTTAGTGCATATTAATTTCAGTTTTTAAAATCTCAATTTATTTTGATTATATCACTATTAATATACACTGTTTGAAAGAGAAGGTGGTGGTGTGTTTGAACACGTCAGAAAAGTCACCAGTTCTTTTCTACGTCTGCCAATTCTGAATGTACTTTACACTGAAGAAGAACACCTTGTTCTTATTAAACTGTCATAGAGAAACTCTTTGCATAGGCAGGTAATGCAAATGTGTCAAAAGGTAAAGGTGTCAAACAGAAACCGAAACCATATCAAATGTCTCAAAAAAGGTCCTCGTGAACTCTGTAGATCGTAAACATGTGTCGGTGTCTTGTTTCTTTCTGGCCTGGATATCCTGTTTAATATTACACCTTAATTTTTTTGATGGGAATTGACAGATGAGATGGACGTGTGCCCTGTGCTCTTAATAGCATGTTTATTATGACAGGGCATGCATAAGCTTGTTATATTAGCTTGGGAACAGTACTTTCTGTTTCTTGTGTGCAACAGTAGAAGAATGTCATTACACTGTTGAAACCTTATCTACCTTATCTTGGTCAGTTGACCGTGGACCCAAATAAACCAAGCACAGGATTATATATAAAAGTGTTACTTAACATGTATCTATGGGAAAATGTGCACTTGCATATGCTGTTTGTTTTTTTTCACACTCTGCATGCACAGACTTGCACCCACAAAAAAAAATCCCCAGAAAGCCTTTCACCCAAAATGGTTTTCTTTAATACTGAATGTATTTATTTTCTGCCCCCGTTTTCTCTTGTTTTTAAACTTCTTTTCAATGTCACTTTCAACACAGGGCGAAGAAATCTTTCTGGACATGTTTGAGGACGAATACAGGAGCATGACGGTGGGTTAGGTTTAATATTTGCTTTGCTCCCCTCCCTGTTCAAAATGAAACATCAGCCCGACTTTGCAAGCACATTTCTCTTTCTGCTATTAGGTCTGGGTGTTCTCATACAATGTCGTCTCTATGTTGCAGAGTAAGCCACTGAATGTGGAGTATCTAATGATGGATGCCTCAATACTGCTGCCACCCACTGGCACTCCTCTGACCGGTATTGACTTTGTAAAGAGACTTCCTTGTGGAGACGTGGAGAAGACACGCAGGGTGCGTCCGCTCACACACACAAGCTCAGTGACAGTTTCCTGGAGAAATCTATTGTTGTAGCTCATGCTGGCTGTTCTTGGTACTCTTCCAGAAATCTTAGTCCTCACAAATAAGAAGCAGACAGGCAAAAGAAAATCCACTCACACACCCAAGTTCAGTGGACATACATAGACAATCAGGACTTGTAGTTGAGTTTTTCTTGAAGGGTTGTGGCACATCGAAGCAAACCAGTGAAATAATTTTCACTTAGAAGAATTTTAGAAAAGGTTTGGAGGTTTTTTTGTGATCAAAGGTTTGCATCCGTCATCTA